ATCTGTACTCCCCATCTTTCTAACGCTAATACTTTGTATAATAATGCAGGTGTCAGGCTGTCAGTTAGGTTCCTGTACTGCTAACATTTACTTCCCTTTATTGTAGCAATCTGTTTTAATCAAACGTATATAAAACTGATCAATGATCAATCATTTGTCCTTATTTTAAAAAAAAAATGTCTGCCACAGCTGGGATGTTGGAGATGATGTGACTATGAACCTGACATGACTTTAAGGCAAAACTGCAGACAGTTTGTTTTCTAAGCAGTTCATGTTAAAATGTGGTCACAGGTTGAAATTCAGTCATTAAATGATGCCTCCATGTTTTGAAAGGTACAATGTCTGAAATTCAGAATCTGAACTCGATGTATTTTCTACTGAAAATCACCTTAAATGGTCTCATTGGGTCAGCCTGAACCAATCCACATAAAGGTTTCTCGTCAAAGGTTATTTTAAGGATCATTAAAGCGCGTCCTGACCAGAGTCCATTTATCAGTCTCAGTGTTAGTGAAGTCAGAGATCATTTTTTAAGTCAGTTCCTAGATTACGGCCATCGTCTTTCGGCTTGGATCAATAGATCAGTGCATCAAAGTTTAGTTTAGATTTAAAAAAACAAGGAAGCGTTGGATTTCTCAAGCCCGGTGTGAAACCACTGGGTTTTATGAAGGGGTATTACAATTTTTCACAAGCCCCAAATGTTTGTTTTTTTCTTTTCAGTTGTCACTAAAGCTGACATGGGAGGTCTTCTGGCTGTCACAGCTAATCATAAGTGTGGAAAGCTGACAAACAGAAAGTAAAGTCATATCTTAGCAACACTGCGACCAATAGAAATAAAAACCTTATTGCATCTGGCCACTACAGGGCACCGCAATAAACAATACTGCATTTTCTCTTAACCCCTTGTTATTTTTGTCACTTAAGTTAACTTTGTGTGTGTTTTTACACGAACATTTAATGATTTGAATGTTATATGAATTTGCTCTTTGGAGAGGTGGTTTTTGCATTTATATATTCTTATACTGCTTGGAAATGAAATGTATACCACTTTAGATTTGGGGCCTAACCTTTCTGTCTCTGACAGCTGTGGTTATTAAGCTTCAGTCTGCTGAATCTTTCCCCAAAAATGAGTCAGCAAACTGTGTTGTTGGGTTTAATCACTCGTCAGACCACTTTAGTGTTTTGTTTTTCTGTTTTCTTTTCTTTTTCCCAAAAGCATATTTTTATGGTGACTGATGAGTGTTTTACACTTTTCTCACCCGAGAATGAAAAATAATTTTCTATAACTTTTTGCAACTTTGTACTGTTCGTTGAGAGAAACAAAGTTGCTCAATAGATAATTGGATTACCGGTATAACCAATAGATTATTATTTTTTTTTTTTTAAAGTTGACCCAGTAAATGATTAATTGACCATTTAAAGTTTACTCCTCTCCTCTAAACTCTTAAACAGCACTTTGCATGGCATTAAACACTGGCTTGCTAATATCACTGAAACAACACTGAGTCTGTTATCATGGCGGAGTTTTAGAAAGCAACATGAACTGTAATCATGTCATAAGCAAATAATTGTAATACTGGAGGACATCTTCCAAGTCCTAGAAATGTAAATGCTTCTGCAAAAATTAACAATATAAAGGAATTGTGTGCCATCAGCATGATTTGATCTTGTGTCCGAGCTAGTGCTTCGGCTAAGTAATATTACACCGGCTTGCTTTTAGGAGCTGGGCATTGCTGTAACTCACTCCAACATAGAGGTGGTTTGTGGGTCCGATGTGGTCTTTGTCGCAGTCAAACCTCACCTGGTTCCGCTAGTTCTCAAGGAGGTCACACAACACGTCACTGGCAGACACATGATTGTATCTGTTGCAGCAGGAGTAACACTAGCAACGTTAGAGGAGGTGAGTGCCACATAGTTTCTGGTGTCTTTTAAGGGACAGATTACCACTGAATCAGATTTGTGTTCTTCTTTTGGCTTGTAGTGTGTTTATGTCTGTACTGTCATGGTGTGAATCAGTTTTTGAGATGGCTGCAGAGATGTCTCTCTTCTCTTGTGTATAAGTTGCTCAAAGCTCCCCAAATTTGTATATTTTTAATAACTCTGTAGCAGTGTCGCTTTATGGAAATCACGAACCATTATTTCAAATACCACAGATCTCTCTGAGCAGTTTCATGTTCAAGTTTTTCAAGTATTTTTTGTATACCACCTCCATCTACCAATAGAAGAATGCAGCTAGCGAACATCAGAGTAGAGTCGCCTGTTTTCATGGGCAGAGGCACAAATAAAGGTTCCAAATAAAGGTATAGTTGTATGGAAAGAAAATAGTTCCTACCTGAAACTAATACTATATACACACAAATTATATATACAGTGCTCACATGTATCAGATCATCACCCAGTTACATCTTTATGCCACAGCTGAGCTGCCCTAAATTAGCAGTGTATGTAATTACAACATCATTTGGTTCTCTAATGCTTAATCCACCAGTGTGCACAAACTCATTAATAAAGGGGATATTTTAATGCTAAAATATGATTCTTGTTCTTATGTTTTATGAAAAAGCATGAAAAGAGCACATTTTTCTTTATTAACATGCCAAATTATAATTGTTTACTTGCATTCCTGACCACTATTTTAGTGGAAAAATGTTACATTTTATTAATTGCTGACTTCTCAGAAGTTCAGCATGCTGACTCAAATTTGGGTAAAATAATATGAATTGCAATAATATTTACACATTACTAATTTTTTTTGTTTTTATTCTTTTTATTTAATTGTACTTATGTGCATGCACAGATTTCATTTTAGGGTGAGCTGTAACTTTCAATGCTGATCCATCTATATTTGTCCTCTTTTAACGTCAAGCTCCTTCCTGAGAACTCTGTTGCCATCCGGCTGATGCCAAATCTACCGTGTTTAGTTCAGGAAGGTGCTCTCCTGTTTGCTCGAGGATCACACGCAAAACAGGAGGACGGCGCACTACTTCGCTCCTTGTTGCATCGCTGTGGTTTGGTGGAGGAGGGACCTGAAGCCTGGATTGACATCCATACTGGGCTGAGCGGGAGCGGAGTAGCCTTTGTGAGTGTCCTAGATTTTATTTCTTTTGGTTGGTTTATTTGTTTTATCTGAAGTCTTTTGCCGCTTTTCCATTAGTACCTACTCGGATCGACTGGTTTTCCATTGCAGCAGAGTACAACCCAATGTGTGTGGTTGTTGTTATAGCAATGTGTCCGAGCATGACATGACGTAATTAGTATGCAACTCGAACACTACAAAAGAGGTGGAAGTTCAGGCAAGAATATACGTGCTGCTCGCTCTGTGGCTTTTCGTCAGACTTGGGGAACATGGCATTGCTTTTGGTAGCCATTTAACCCGTTGCTGGGTTTCAAAAATGGTGGTTTTGATTTTCATGAACGAGATGCTCTCATAACACATCAAATTACACTCTTAACCGGCCAATCACTGGCATGCAGTCTGGTGACGTCTTGGTGCCTGTTAGGATCGCTTGGAACCCTGGTACCAGGTACTGGGACCTAATTGAAAACCGTGGTGAAAATAGTTACTAATGGAAAAGCGGCTTTGTAACTTCTTGTTTACAATTGTAACATGAATTTCTCAGACCATACACATTGCTTTGAAGATGACTGTTGCTTATATATTCCAGGCTCCAGTTGCCTAGGTGTCCTTCTAATCTATTTACACCCAGGTCATGTGTCAATCAGTGGTATTCTTCACTGTCACTGGTAGTACCTGCCTGGAAGTTGAGCTTCCTGTGAGCACAGTTGAGCTCAGAGGTTTACCTGAGCTCACCATGGTCATGAATGTCATGTCAATTTTGGGCTTTTTATGATTTCCTTTAACTGTTCTTTTTCCAGAGTCTTTAATGACTTAAAAGGAAAAAGAACTTGCACAAATTTCCTTTAATTTTGGTTTTTCTAATCTAACACAGAGTTCATGTTTTATTCTGATCAGTGAGCTTCTTCTCTGCAGGTGTATCTTTTTGCTGAAGCTCTGGCAGAAGGAGCTGTTAAAATGGGCATGCCAAGTGCTCTAGCCCACAGCATTGCCTCTCAGACTGTTCTGGTCAGTTTAACACTTTGCTTACTTCTGTTTTACAACAGTTCACTTCAGAGCTCTGACTCCTGAGTGTCCAAATACAATATTTGAAAGCTGCTATTTGCTGCAGGGTGCTGGGAGGTTGTTACGTGATTCCGGGAAGCATCCAGCTCAACTTCGCTCGGAAGTCTGCACGCCAGGTGGAACAACCATATATGGGCTTCACACACTGGAACAAGGCGGTGTGAGGGCGTCAACCATGAGTGCTGTGGAGTCCGCCACAGAGAGAGCCAGGGAACTCGGCCGAAAGTCAACAGCAGGGAGCAGAAAGTGATGGACAAATTTGCCTTTAAGAACTACTCATTAGACTTTTAACTTGATAAATACCCAACATGGAAACCTGAACTTTTTTTTTTTTTTCTCTTCTCATCACACTCAAAAAAAAAAACCCAAGTTATCCCTTTTTTAAATCACATTTTCCCATCTTCTTTCAGTCTCTGTAAGCTAAAAGTCAACATTGGCTTAATCTTAAAATTGATTCTGACTATTTAATATTAGACCATGACTTCTGTTTTTACATGCACTCAAATAATCCTGTCTTATTGGATTTGGATGCAAGTAAGGTACAACCCAAATTTGATTGTACCAGTATTTGTTGATATATTCTAATAACGAAATGCTGAATAAATCCAACTTGTCACATTTACTAAAAGTCACGTGAGACTCGAAGGCTGAAGGAGAGGCTAAACAAGTAGAAAAAAAGCTGTTATGCAGACCATATTGTTCATCATCACTACAGAAGCCCCTGTTATGAACATCTTCATTGCTGTACTGCCTTACTGCTCTTGATTGGATTGTAATGTAGAGTCAGTGGATCATTTTAATCTTTTAAATTATAATTATTGTATTTAATATTTGTTTGGATAAAGCATACGTCTAAATTTTAGGATAAGAGTAATCACATTTGTGTGGCTCCAGTACAATGATAGTGTCCCAAGTATAGCTACTGTATGGTTGTGTATAACATGGTGTATGGAAAAAAAAATGGTTCTAATTTAAAAATAAGTATCAATTTTCATAAAGTGTCATGTTATCAGGTTCTGTTCCTTATTTTTCTGTTAGTTTTGGAGTCTTGAAACCAGCTATTAGCTGACAGCTCAGACTTAATTTCTGACCTTCAATACAAAAGATAACAAGCCACTGCAACAATGAGTCAGTTAGCCTAGAAAGAAACATTAATAGGCAGCCATATGGATAAATCATTTAAGATAAATTTGATAAATTCTTGTTTTAATTTGTTTTGGGAAATTATACACTGAATATTGTTAGATCCGAAGTCAGTGGTCAGCCAAGAATCTGACTGACAATGTATTACCCTTTGACTGTGGCCTGATCCACAAAGCATGTGCTGTGGGTGTAGAAGAGGGTGGACAATTTGCTGCGTCTTAGGCCACATGGAGCCCCTTCTCCATTAGCAAGGTCGCAACTTGGACCTGAGGCCCACCTCTTCCTGCTCCAGGAGAGGTGGGCCGCAGTTGGGAATTCCTCTGAAAAAGCTTGAGTTTGCATTTAGGGAGGAAAGGTCTGGTCTCTTTATAGACTGCAGCCCAGACCTGTGTACACATTAAAAAAATGAATGAATGGGTGTGTGTGGATTGATGGACAAAGTCATGAGTTCACTGATAACAAAAGGCACCACAAAACTAATTGTAATCTTGAAAAATAAATTTAGTATCTTTTCTGGCCCTGAATAACATTACATAGTTCATCTGCCAGTGCGTCATATGAGTCAAAATTCAAGACTGTTCACTTGAACTGGCTGAACAATAGAAATAAAAAGTTCAGAGGATTTGAAATCTAGATCAAAGAGAATGAAACATAGTTTTTTTTGCCACTGATTTGTCTATAACAGCAGATGTAAATAATTTAGAGACTTACAATAATAACTGAGTGAAGGTATCATAAACAGTAAAGCCTGTCATACTAAGACAGCGGTTGGAAATTATGAGGTGTAGCTTTAAACTGAGTTGTGACCTAATTTGGTGAGATGCAAATACTCCAGTGTCACATTTATTCCAATTTTAATATATCAAAACGACATGACATTCAACACAGAGCATGAGGCAACATTAATGATTCATACCTTCCCTCCCCCACCCGCTAAGATCACACAATCACCGCTGTTCCTTGCTTCCTTGCTTCCTCTCCGCTTCCTCTTCTTCCTCCTTCCCGCTGTCATTCACGACCGGAGAAACACGTTTTATCCGCTGGCCCGGCCTCACACCGACAAGACAAAAACCCCCCACAATAGTAAGTAAGCTCAACGCCGACCGACAGCCAGGTTTCAGTGCGGTTGTTAGCGGTGGGAATCTTTAAAATACATTTTGGGTAAACTGATGGATATTCAGTGGTTAACAGAGCAGGCGCTTGGCTGGGATTAGCCGTGGCTAGCAAGCTGCTAGCTGAATGAGCAGCGTGCTAGTGCTAACACTGTCGGAGCGGCAGTCACGCTTGCCGGATACCGGCTTCAGTGGCTGCTTGTGCTGGTTAGGTTTTTACGGCATTGTCAGTATTAGAAAGAAGCTCTTTAGGGCCACGTTTTAAAACAAGTAGACTTATTCCGGTGCAAATGAAATGGCTACTGCAGAATTCATTCTAGCTAGGACCGAATTAAAGAAGATGAAAGCTGGCTAAGGTTAGCAGGGCGCGCACCTTTGGAAGTTGACAGCGCTCCTGATGCTCTGTCTTTTGTTGTTTAGCATTTGGCATGACAGGGTTTTCTACATGACGTTACACAAGTATCTTTAAGTGGAAGTGCTGCCTTGAATCCTGGAACATGGTCACTGATGAGCTTCTATACAGATCAGGGCAGGAGAGGTGAATTCTTGTTGTTCTAAATCACGTATATATTCTTTGTCAGCCACCCTCTTTAAATGTTATCAAGGAGGGACTGATGAATTAATTTGTGAATGAAATTGCACCAACTATATACATGCAAGGATACTCGATATCAAAGGAGAACAAAGCATATTCTATATAATGCCACAGGGTGTCTGGGGTGATTTCATTTTTCTCCAAATTATAAAGTCACAGGGATATCAACTGAATGTTGTGAGCCAGCCAAAACCGACAATCAAACTGTCTTAAGTATACGTCAGCCTATATCTAAATATATCTATATCTAAATCAACCATTGCATAGAATTCTTCTTTTTTCTTTTCCAAAAACTGCTTGAAGCCATGATATGTTCCAAAATTGCCATGTAGTTTATTTTGAGCTGATCCAGCACCCAGTGCACCACCCTGCTGCCAGAAATACTCACCAGAGCTGCAGCTCGAAATAGCTCCCAAGAAATTAAGTATTAACTTTTGTTAATAAAACTAAGCTAAATTAAAAACGGCAGTTTCCTACTGTATGAAATATTTTTGGGGTGCCTTCAGAAGAGTATGTTTAGTTTTGTGTATGTGTGTGTGTGTGTGTATGTGTGTGTGTGTGTGTGTGTGTGTGTGTGTATATATATATATATATGTGTATATATACACACTGACAGGCAACCATACTGGCTGCTAGTGGAGCTCCTCAATACAGGATACACTCTCCCTGAAAATGCACAGAAATTGAAACGGATAAATGAACCTCCCCTCCTACCGCAGCTGAGCCTAGTCAGCAGTTCTTTAAGAAGATGGATAAAATCTGTTTTCCACATCGTATCTAATTTGTTTGATCTGTTAATTAGATTGAGTATTGAAAGGTGTGATGTGCTTTAACAGCAAATGTCTACTTTTGATGATGTAGAGGAAAATAAACTGCTCCCAACTGAAGGGGGGTTGGGTCCAAGTTTTGCTTCATGTTCTAGGATTATATTGGATTTCAGTGAAAGCATTTTTCCCCATTCAGCATCGTCCAAGGCTAAAAGTGGAGCCATTTAAAGACTGCGGAAAGGTTGACTTTCATGTTGAATATCTGATCTAGATAAATTTTTTAATGTATAGCTTGTCTTCTCCCATCTTGCCTTCAGAATTTCACATGTGAGTATTCCTTGTAACGCTGTCACATACCTTGCATTGAGCACAGACAGTACAAAAGATGGATGTAGCTTCCTGGTTTGAAAAAGTTAAGCCGATGTGGAAGTGCCTTAAACCGGTTTTTAGTCTGAAAGCCTAAAGATGGCTATAACTATGCCTTCAATGAGTGTTCCTGTCCTTTAGTCTATGAGGAAAAAAGCCTTTCTGTTTTGACCTCTGTAAACACTTTGCTAGTTCTTTGTCTTAGTTACTCCTTTAAGATCGTACTCAATAAAATCTTAAACCTACCACATGTCAAATAGGAGGCTTATCAGTGGTATTTTCTGCTTGTCCATTGGCTAACGGCTTGTCAATCACAAGTCGGGAGCCAATGACCAAGCAGTTTCACATTCAGACATACCCTTTCAAGTCACATCCAGTTTCTTGCAACCAAAATGGAAATGGTAGAAACGTTTGGCTTCAAAACAGGAGTGCAGAAAACAATGGGTCACATCATGGTAGTTATGTCCGTCTTTTGTACTGTTTCCACCCTCCTTAAATGTTGTATCCCTTGTATTGTCTGATTTATTTTGCAAGGTGGTGATTGATAAATTTCTTTTCAATGGCTTGCGGTTAACTGGATGAAAAGAACGTGTTGAGCATTTGACTTTGATACTAGGTTGAGCTCAACACCTTTACTGAAGAAGGTGAGTTAACAGATTGACTAAGATCTCCTCATAAACATCAAGCAGGAAATGACTTCCCAAACCAGTATCCAAAGTTGTTATAGCTTTGTATTAGTTTGGATCATTTTAACTAAGCTCTGTATGAACAATAGGGAATGCATTTGCTGTATTGTAGTATATTACTAAAACTTAAAGATGCATGATTTAGTGCATGTCTGAATTGTAATACCTACTGTATTATTATTTTAGTTTTATTTATTTATTTTGCATGCGCATGCGTTGCATTGGTCCACTAATGTTTTTCTTTTACTCAATGACCCCTTTTCTTCCTGTGATTGCTATCATGTCATTGTGTATGTTCAGTGTTGCAAAGCTGTTTAAGGTTTGTAAAGTACATAATGGAAGCTGTAAACAAAGGAGTGCATTATAAGGTCAGTTTAATGTGTATCCTTTGCATAAATATTTAGTCATAAATGGTGCTAATAATATAAAAGCTATGGCATATGCTGGATATCTTACTAGCTCTGATAATACAGTGTCCTCCGTGAAAGACATGATTGATAAATCAGATTCTAGAAAACTCATAAAAAATTAGATTTGATTGATCTGGGTTAGGACTAGAGATGGATCGATCCGATATTACGTATCTGTATCGGTCCGATACTGACGTAAATTACTGGATCGGATATCGGAGAGAAATAAAAAAATGTAATCCGATCCATTAAATATCAAAAAAGCACCTCACAAAACTTGCGACACTAACTCGGCTCATAACCGTAGCACGTCGCAGCAG